ATAATTTTGAACTAACTACAGCTATGATTAATACAGCTAAACTTTATGAGGGGAGATATTATTTCTAGAGATTGGAATAATGATGTGGTCAGCAGAACATTCAGTTAAGAATGTTAATTCAGTTAAGACAAGCTCAAAATAGTGATGCTATATTAGGAACTAAGAAAAATTTTCAAAGGCTTTCAGAGCTTCACTTTTTCATTTCCCATAGTGAATCTTCAGGTTTCAGTGTTTAACAAAAAGATAATTCTTCATACTTTACAATTACTTTTTGATCAGATGTACTCTGATCTTTGATCAGAGCACATAGTTGACAAAGCAGTCTCACCTTTTTCTATTTTAACAGTCCACAAGGCAATATTGACTGTGCTATTTTAGTCTTCATGTGTATGTATACATGGATGGATTGTAAAACCAATACCAAAGTGCTGTAATTTTTTTCTTAGATTTATTTTAGTTTTCAAAACAAAAATTATTCTATTCTGTTACCAAAATAAATGTGTGGAATTACTGTACAATGGCCATACCCAATACTAGAAATACGTTTTTAAAACCAAAAACTTATTTTACATCTTAATTTAAAGATAAAGCCTGTCTAAAATTTAATACTAGACAACTCCGTATACCCAGGTTGAATTATTACATGTGCACATATGAAGTATACATACACATACTTCATAAACTTGAGAGTTTATTGATATGTAATACTATATCCTATAAATGTAAGTTATTAAAAAGACTAGAGAATATGTTCCATGTGTCTTAACACTTTTAAAAACGAAAAGATGATACACTGTAGAGGGAGGAATACTCTTTATTTTAGTCTTGGGAGCTTAGGGAACAGAATTATGTAACACTAAGGAGGCAATAGATGCAAAAACATACACACCATGTGTCAAGAAAAGATGATGTTAATAGCGTCTGCATTTGCATATGACACTGGCTGTAAAATAAATGTAGATGAATCAAACAAGCACTTATTATCTTGTCTCTGATTGTTTGCTTTATC